TATATTGGAAGATTCCAATTTTGTAAATATTACTACAAGTCCAAAAATAGAACTGATTGTGTGACCGTTGTCCCTCTCTTGAAAATCGTTTCGTTTTTCGATTTGCTGATGGTCCTCTCATCACAGTTTGGAATTTATGAGGATTGTATCACTCTTGTCGATATATCCTCCTCTTTTTTTATCCTTTCAATTTTAGAAACTGCGATCGGACGATCATCGATTCCTTCCCGTGAGGGGAATTGAAATCCCCCTCCACCACCAGGAATGGATTCACGCCTGTATCCCGAGCCGAACTCAGGACTGGCAGTGCGATCGAGTTGTCGCATAAAACTGCCTACAATTTTCATTGTTTAAAATAAGATGAAAAGTCAAGAAAGCATTGGAGAAAATGAATGTTTTGTTGTAACTGAGGCAATTAGTACGGTCATCACCCCTCAGGTGCATGATACTTGGTCAGTTCATACTCCCGTGGTATATCATTAATATGAAATTAATGACATAGGCACATCGCAGTTAAACTGCAGAAGGCAAATGAATCTGTACATAACAGCCTCTTTCTGATTATTAATAAAATGCTAACTCTACGTCAGAAATAGCACGATATGCAAATGATTTTTTAAATTTCACGAAACTTAAGAAAATAATAGTTTAATATAAGAGCTAAATAATTGTAAAAGAAATTTTAAAAATATCTAAAATTGTAGGACTTTAACCACTTTTAATTTTGCATTGAATTTATTTCATTCTTTTATAACTTTTATAACTTTTGATGAATGAAACATGTATTTTTTTCAGAAAAATACGTATTTTTAAAAAATTGTATAAAATAAAAAGTTTTTTAATGTTTAAATATAAAAAAAGTAAAAATAAATTTTCTTTTATAGTTTTTTCAACTTTTGAGCCATTGTTTTTAATTTTTTCATAATAATCTGTATCACTTCATCCTTAATTAAAAAAAATTATTTTTGAATTAATTTGAAATTAATCAAAGTTTTAAAAATTATTTTTTTTAAATTAAGGTTGAAGTCATAGAGATTATTATGAAAAAATTAAAAACAATGGCTCAAAAGTTGAAAAAACTATAAAAGAAATTTTATTTTTACTTTTTTTATATTTAAACATTAAAAAACTTTTTATTTTATACAATTTTTTAAAAATACGTATTTTTCTGAAAAAAATACATGTTTCATTCATCAAAAGTTATAAAAGTTATAAAAGAATGAAATAAATTCAATGCAAAATTAAAAGTGGTTAAAGTCCTACAATTTTAGATATTTTTAAAATTTCTTTTACAATTATATTTAGCTCTTATATTAAACTATTATTTTCCCAAGTTTCGTCAAATTTTAAGAATCACTTGCATATTGTGATATTTCTCACGTGGAGGCGCCTAAAAATTAAATCAAAACATTAATTATCACAAAGGAATTCATTTTTCAAACTAAAACAACAAAACATTCAATATCCACATCCTGAAAATAGAACATATTTTTATCCCACATGCACAAAAATGTCGATTTCATATAGCAGACGACAGGGAGTATAGTCACTCATTTGTTCGACAGTATGAAAATAGTTGTTATTTTCATATAGTCGAACAAGTGAATGACTTTTACTCCCTGTCGCCTGCTATCCGAAATCGTCACTTTTGTGCATTAGGAATAAAAAATCATAATTAACAAGAAAACTAAGGCAGCCCAATTTGTTTACGATGAAGTATAACTTTTGTTCATCCTGCAGCAATTAAACATTTTACAAAAAGTGTTGTATTTTGTTTATTATTAAAGTTAAGAAGCTTAAAAAGGTCTGATTTAAAAGCACATATCCTGAGCTGTATAACAACAAAAAATAAATTTAAAAAAATAATTTTGTTACTTAATGTTCAGTAATTATATCACAAAGCAAAAAAATTAGCCTTTTTTCAACTGTTGATAACTCAAAAATGGATGGTTTAAAAAAATTTTTTTGAGTACATGAATTGTTCCTTTTTTATATTGAATTAGATTTTGAAGTTTTAATTGTAGAAATTCACAATTTATTCTCACTACAATAAACAAGCAAATTTAATATCCTATTTATTTAATTATTTTAATAATTTTAACTCAGCAATTATTTAAATAACTTTTGATAATGTAATTAAGTTTATTGTTTGTAAACTGATCAAAATTTATTTAAATAATTTATTGCTGAGTTAAAATTATTAAAATAATTAAATAAATATAGGACATTAAATTTGCTTGTTTGTTGCAGTGAGAATAAAATGTGAATTTCTATAATTAAAACTTCAAAATACAAAAAATGTAAAAAATTTTGTTTTCTAAAAAACAATTCTTTATATTTTTTTCCTAATTCTATATAAAAAAGCAACAAATTTATGTTCTCAAAAAAATTTTCAAACTAACTGCTTCTGAATTATCAACGATTGAAAACAATTGCTAATTTTTTTTTTTTGCTTTACAATATCATTACTTAAACATTAACAAAATTATTTTTTCAATTTATGTTTTATGTAGTTATAAAGCGCAGGATATGTGCTTTTCAATGAGACTTTTCTGAGCTTCTTAACAATTATAATAAACAAAATACAATATTTTTCTAAAGTGTTTAATTGCTGCAGGGTGGGCAAAAGTTATTTAACGGCACTGTATAACAAACACATGTGTGAACACACATTCATATACGCAGACACAAAACAGAAAAAAAGAACAAAACAAAATTTCAATTTCATAATTTTCAAAACATTGAAATTCTTATTATCGAAATTTAATTTTACATAATTTTCATATTTAAAAATACCATTGAACATATTGTTTAAATAGTCGAATTATTCTTTATCCTAATATTTATATAAGGTTTTTCAAGTTGGGTGGTGGAAAATTTAAGATGGATGCTAACTGTTGCACAAACATTGTATAGAAATATAAAAATAAATAGAAATGTTTGTGCAACAGTTAGCATCCATCTTGAATTTTCCACCACCCAACTTAAAAAACATTATATAACTATTAGGATAAAGAATAATTCGACTAATTGAACATTATGTTTAATGGTATTTCGAAATATGAAAATTATGTAAAATTAAATTTCGATAAAAATAATTTCAATGTTTTGAAAATTATAAAATTGAAATTTTATACAAAATCGTATGCATCTAAAAACCCTACATTATATCCCTACTCTTCGAAAAATATGTTATCAACCTTCAGGTGCATGATACTTTGTACACCAGTCATACATTATAGAAAGTTTTTTTTTAAATTTCAATAATAAATATTGAAATTCAGTACTTAAATTTGCAAATTAAAGAAAACATTAAAAAACCTTCAAAATGGTTTCGTAATAAAAAAAAGCAAATTAATAATGATCGGCCGCAAGAAAAATTAATTGATTCCAAAACTGGTCGCGACTGTGTAAGGGTCAACCCTTCACAGCCGTACACCACACCAGCCTCAAAATCAAATAATTTTACCACCAACAGATACACTTATTGCTTTCCTAGTTTGCACTAGGCGGATAATAATTTTAATATATCATGTTGTCCCTAAGGTACGCGAGTACGAACAGAAGGATTTCTTTGATATGAAATTATATTTTATTTATAACAATACTAAATAGTAAAAATATTTAGATTCACAATAAGGAAATAATGATTTTAATGAATCTTTTTGTCCCTAAGGTACACGAGTATAAACGTTAAAGAACGATTTCTTTGATATAAAATTAATAATATAATAATCTGCCGGAAGCAAAATCAATTGATTCCAAAACTGGTCGCGACTGTGTAAGGGTTAACCCTTCACAGCCGTACACCACACCAGCCTCAAAATCAATTAATTTTACAACCAACAGATACACTTATTGCTTTCCTAGTTCGCACTAGGGAAATAATGATTTTGATAAATCGTGTTGTCATAAGGTACGCGAGTACGAACGTTAAAGAAGGATTTCTTTAAAATAAAATTATATTTTATCTATATCAATACTAAATATTAAAAATATTCAAATTCGCACGAGGCAAATAATTATTTTAATAGATCGTGTTGTCCCTAAGGTACGCCAGGACGATTGTTAAAATACTAAATAATGAAATTGAATATTCAGATGATGTCCATAAAGTATTTTACGACCTTTAAAATTTTATAAAATGTAAGTGGAAATGCCATTCACTATAGATATTTTCGTTTAGTTATATTTAAGGTGAAAGCTTTATATTTACAAGAAAAAGAAAAATGAAAGGGGCCCCATCCATCGCCCCCTTCTGTGAGTTACATCTCAAAAAATAAAATAAAAATTATTATTTTCTTAAAAAATTTAATTTTATATTATTAAAAATTTTAAGATAATAAAATTAACTCTCCAAATAATTATTTTTGTGAATCGTTTTGTCCCTACGGACATTTAATGTTTAGATTCGCACTAGACTTGAATAAAATGAACTATATTTTTAGAATTATTTTGTGAGACAATTGTATTGTGTCTTTTTGTAAAAGCTTTAGTAATACATTTTATTTTATCTCCCCTGCAAATTATTTCTGCACGTATTTACAATGTTTCGTGATATCATCATAGGGTTTTTTTTTAATTATTTTTTTTGATTTTTTTTTACTTAAAATTAATAACAATAAATAATAATTTTTTTGTATTTTTCCTTATTCTTATTTGATAATGCCAAAATAATTGATCAAAATTATCATATTAAATTATATAACACTTTTTTCAATATTTTCTTTAAGATGAAAATTTACAAACTGTTTTAAATACTTTTTTTTTTAAAGTTGAAGAAAATGTGTCTCATTTCTCATGGGGAACGTAGATTTAAAATAATAAATTCATATTAACGCGAGCCAGACACATTTTATATTATTCGAATAAAACTTTTGTACAATGGAAACACAATTATTCACGTTTAAGAATAATGAGATATTTAACATTATTTACAAATTATTGTTTTCTATTTTTTACGATAAATGTCTATACTGCATATTCTTTTTTTGTTTCAGATGCAGTAAATTTCCTTACTAGCACTATGAAGACGAGTTTAAAATTTTTCAATGGTAGGATTTAGCAGTGAATTTTTGAAAAATTATCATCTTGGACAATGGAATTGCGAAGTTGTGAAATGTAAAATTACGTGAATTTTGAATTATTACATTTTTCATTGTAGAAATAAATGTCTAATGGCTGGAAAAACTGTTGGTTTGGGTATATCATTGCCGGTTAATAATCCCTCCAAGTACAACCCAATATTAAGAATATTACGTCCAGCGTTAATATCCCTCTCCCACATTACATTGCAATTTTTGCATAAAACATATCTATGTGTCGTTTTTGATACAAAACATTCTTCATTGCAATTGGAACATTGTTTTGTTGTAAACGCTTCATGGACAACCATTATTTTTAATTTATCTTCGCCATATTCTTTCGATTTCTTCATTAAAAGACTATTAATTTTATTTATTTTGCTAAAATGATGGCCTTTTATAAATGAAGGTATGTTTGTTTGGCCGATCACAACTAAACATGGATTTTCTTGAACATTGCCAATTAAAAAATTGACAATTCTATCGAATTCTTCCTCCTTTTTTATCATTTGTCTCCACTTGAAATGTTGAAAACAACTTCTTAGTAAAGTTGGTTGAGAGCACTGAAATATTGCAATGCGATATTTTGCAATATTTAAATAGTCGTAGGGATTATTTAAATTAATATTTTTAAAATTTACATTATTATTTATTATTGCACTTATTTTTGCACTCATTGATTTTGTTTTTCTCTTTTTTAACATTCTATTGTGTGGTGTTAATGTTCTGAACCTTAATGTTCTGTTATGAATGTAAATCGGAATGTCGTGTTTCTTATTATTTGAAGATGGCTTTGGAGAACCTAGTCTTAAAACACCAGCAAAAGCTGCTTTCTTGCCAGGATCTAATCCAATGAAACGCGAATAGTTTTTTTTTTTTAAAGAAGCAGATGCAATTTCTTCGAAATCAGCTTTTGTTGGTGCATTATTTTCTCTAAAAAAACCAACAGAAACTTTAACACCGTTTGTCACAATGAATTTTGGTATTTTATTTTTTTCTAAATTGTCAATATTAAATAGTTTATTAAATACAAATTCAGTTTTTTTATCGATATCTACATTTTTTGAATTTAAATAATCCCATTCTACTTTTTGTTCATCATTTCTATATCTTTTACCGTCTCTTTGAATGTATTGTAAATATGGAAAAACATCGCCCTTTAACACAGTATAAGAATAAACTTGATGCTGTATTCCTAGCCTTTTTATAGGGATTAATACAAAACTTCTTTCCATATTATCAACAAAATATTTTTGCATTCTTAGGAAAAAAGGGTAAAACTGTTTATAACAATTTCCATTATCCATTTGTTTAAAATCTAATTTTTCTCCCTGTAAAAGTGTTTGAAATATTTCATCCTCACATGTACCCTCCATTGCTTGATTAAATAGTACATTCACTTCTTCTTTAGATCTAATTTTCTTTTTTTTTTTTGTCACTCGATTTATATTCATTTTACATTGCTCCTGTGCAAGACATTTCTTTTGTGCAGGACATTTTTTTTTTGGAATTCTAATCTTTTTAAAATAAACATTATTCATTTCTTGATTCCTTTCTTTTTTCGATAATTGTTGTTTCACATTACTTGCAATCATTTTACGTTTTCTTTTATTTTTCTTTTTCCTCGAGTTTTTACTTCTCCTTGAATTTTTGTTTTTTCGTTTCTTTATTAACTTTTTTTTATCAACATCAATATTCATTTTATTTTCTTCTTCAAGAGGTAAGATGTAAAAAAAACGACGCAGCAAATTACTTCCCCGGTCTTTTATTACACGTTTTAAACACTCTTCATAATTTTGAGCAGCTTGCTTTACTAATTCCGATTTATACACACAATTATAATACTTTACCTCGCCGGTTAAAGTTTGATAAATTTCAAGCGCATTGTATAAATTTTCATGTCGTGCTTTTAAATCAGTAAACGATTTTGAATTTTGGTCTCTCTCAATGAAACATTCAAAAATTGTACTGATTCTTAAATTACCATTAATCCATTCGTTTAAAAATTTACCATCGGGTAATGTGAATAAATACTCACAAAAATAACTCGCTCTAATTGAAAGCGAACTAATAACTGCTACGTCATCAAGAATTTTCATATGAACAATTTCACTTTTTTTAATTCTATTTAATGAGCACTTTCTTATAAAAACATCTTCAGAATTATCTTTATTCTTTTTATTTGTTAATAATTTGCGGCCTTTAGTTATATCGCCTTCAACAATTTTTGCAAGTTTACTTGGATGTGCCATTTTTAAATAATTCAATAAGCAATTTAAAATAGCAATTGATAAATTGTAATTAAAAAAGAAGCCCAATAATTATCAGCCGGAAGTAAAATCAATTGATTCCAAAACTGGTCGCGACTGTGTAAGGGTTAACCTCCATAGCCGTACACCACACCAGCCTCAAAATCAATTAATTCAACAGCCAACGGATACACTTATTTAATCATGTTGTCCCTAAGGTACAAGAGTACGAACGTTAAAGAGGGATGTCATTAATATAAAATTATATTTTATCTATATCAATACTAAATATTAAAAATATTTAGATTCGCACGAGGCAAATAATGATATTAATGAATCCTGTTGTCCGTAAGGTACGCGAGTACGAACGTTAAAGAAGGATTTCTTTAATATAAAATTATATTTTATTTATATCAATACTAAATATTAAAAATATTTAGATTCGCAAGAGGGAAATAATGATATTAATGAATCATGTTGTCCCTAAGGTACGCGAGTACGAACGTTAAAGAACGATTTCTTTGATATAACATTAATAATAATAATAAGCCGGAAGCAAAATCAATTGATTCCAAAACTGGTCGCGACTGTGTAAGGGTCAACCCTCCATAGCCGTACACCACACCAGCCTCAAAATCAATTAATTCAAAAGCCAACGGATAGACTTATTTAATCTTCTTGTCCCTTAGGTACACGAGTACGAACGTTAAAGAAGGATGTCATTAATATAAAATTATATTTTACATTTTTCGATAGGGAATATTAAAAATATTTAGATTTGCACGAGGTAAATAATGATTTTAATTAATCCTGTTGTCCCTAAGGTACGCGAGTACGAACGTTAAAGAAGGATTTCTTTAATTTAAAATTATATTTTATCTATATCAATACTAAATATTAAAAATATTCAAATTCGCACGAGGCAAATAATGATTTTAATGAATCATGTTGTCCCTAAGGTACGCGAGTACGAACGTTAAAGAAGGATGTCATTAATATAAAATTTTAATTTATCTATATCAATACTAAATATTAAAAATATTTAGATTCGCACGAGGCAAATAATGATTTTAATGAATCATGTTGCCCCTAAGGTACAAGAGTACGAACGTTAAAGAGGGATGTCATTAATATAAAATTATATTTTATCTATATCAATACTAAATATTAAAAATATTTAGATTCGCACGAGGCAAATAATGATTTTAATGAATCATGTTGCCCCTAAGGTACAAGAGTACGAACGTTAAAGAGGGATGTCATTAATATAAAATTATATTTTATCTATATCAATACTAAATATTAAAAATATTTAGATTCGCACGAGGCAAATAATAATTTTAATGAATACTGTTGTCCCTAAGGTAAGCGAGTACGAACGTTAAAGAAGGATTTCTTTAATATGAAATTATATTTTACCTATATCAATACTAAATATTAAAAATATTTAGATTCGCACGAGGCAAATAATGATTTTAATGATTCTTGTTGTCCCGAAGGTACACGAGTATGTACGTTAAAGAACGATTTCTTTGATATAAAATTAATAATAATAATAATAATCTGCCGGAAGTAAAATCAATTGATTCCAAAACTGGTCGCGACTGTGTCAGGGTTAACCCTCCATAGCCGTACACCACACCAGCCTCAAAATCAATTAATTCAACAACCAACGGATACACTTATTTAATCGTGATGTCCCTAAGGTACAAGAGTACGAACGTTAAAGAGGGATGTCATTAATATAAAATTATATTTTATCTATATCAATACTAAATATTAAAAATATTTAGATTTGCACGAGGTAAATAATGATTTTAATTAATCCTGTTGTCCCTAAGGTACGCGAGTACGAACGTTAAAGAAGGATTTCTTTAATTTAAAATTATATTTTATCTATATCAATACTAAATATTAAAAATATTCAAATTCGCACGAGGCAAATAATGATTTTAATGAATCATGTTGTCCCTAAGGTACGCGAGTACGAACGTTAAAGAAGGATGTCATTAATATAAAATTTTAATTTATCTATATCAATACTAAATATTAAAAATATTTAGATTCGCACGAGGCAAATAATGATTTTAATGAATCATGTTGCCCCTAAGGTACAAGAGTACGAACGTTAAAGAGGGATGTCATTAATATAAAATTATATTTTATCTATATCAATACTAAATATTAAAAATATTTAGATTCGCACGAGGCAAATAATAATTTTAATGAATACTGTTGTCCCTAAGGTAAGCGAGTACGAACGTTAAAGAAGGATTTCTTTAATATGAAATTATATTTTACCTATATCAATACTAAATATTAAAAATATTTAGATTCGCACGAGGCAAATAATGATTTTAATGATTCTTGTTGTCCCGAAGGTACACGAGTATGTACGTTAAAGAACGATTTCTTTGATATAAAATTAATAATAATAATAATAATCTGCCGGAAGTAAAATCAATTGATTCCAAAACTGGTCGCGACTGTGTCAGGGTTAACCCTCCATAGCCGTACACCACACCAGCCTCAAAATCAATTAATTCAACAACCAACGGATACACTTATTTAATCGTGATGTCCCTAAGGTACAAGAGTACGAACGTTAAAGAGGGATGTCATTAATATAAAATTATATTTTATCTATATCAATACTAAATATTAAAAATATTTAGATTTGCACGAGGTAAATAATGATTTTAATTAATCCTGTTGTCCCTAAGGTACGCGAGTACGAACGTTAAAGAAGGATTTCTTTAATTTAAAATTATATTTTATCTATATCAATACTAAATATTAAAAATATTCAAATTCGCACGAGGCAAATAATGATTTTAATGAATCATGTTGTCCCTAA